ACTTCGCAAACATAATTGCCGGCGGCGAAATCCCATTGGGTTGTTTTGAATGGATATTCGCATCTGGTAATCACCGCAACTTATGTGATGATGTTTAAACAAGGAGTATGGGGTATGCTCCCGATGAAAAAATGTTTAATATATGGTCCACACGTTTGATGACTCCGTGGCGCAGTCGCCAAGGTATTGGCTTCGGCGTCGGGGGTCGTGGGTTCGATTCCCACACGGGACAACTATTTGTGTGACCCACGCATAGTTGTTTCGCATCTGGGTGTTTGTCCGCGTGAGATTTATGTTTGTAAAACGACCTTTACAACACAGGATAATATTATCCTAAAGTAAGGGCAGTGTTTTTTTTAAAAAAAAAAAAAAAAAAAACACGCAATCCTTTAAAATTGTTACTTGCAGAAATAAATAAAATTGATTGATTTGCTCACGAAACTTAATGAGCAAAATGAACAGGTCCAACCTTTAAAGGTTATTTCTTTTAGAATATACTTATACATATGTAATAAATTGGAAAAAAAAACTGCAAAATGCTAAACTAAACTAAAACTTTTTGTATATAGATTTTTGTATATAAAATTTATAATACAATGACCCTCCATATACAATTTATTCTCAACACCGACAGCGATTTGGCCTTATAAACGGTTTTTACGCATGTGAAAATTGCACATTTCACACATTCACGTATGCATGTGTGTTACAAATAGAAGTGAATAATATTCTTTAAAATCGAGTACCTGTTACGCATGTTCCTGTCCTGCTATTTCATACTATGCTGTGACAAAGTGTGTGTAGCCATTAACATAGTGTAAGGTATATCCAAACGCAGTGTCCGGACAAATTATCATTACTGCATGTCCGTACTTCTCTTTATAATAAAGCTCTATGATCTATGCAAGAAAAATAAATTGTTTGTGACATATTAAAGTATCACAATCTAACAGTATTACTCATGAATAGAGAAAACCTTATCACAGCGAGTTTAGGAACTCTTGTGTTGAACAAGAACTGTTATTTAAGTTTGTTCGTAATAGGTAAAGTCTGATATCTTAAGATACCTGTTATATTTCCATGTTACGATAAATACGCCTCTCTCATATTTGAAACTTTAAATAAAAAAAAACAAATGTTAAATAATATACTATGTTCAATTCAACTGTAGATAGAAAAATAACTCAATAAATTAACGAAAACTTCGAAAGGAAACGTTGTTACCTAACAAAGTTCGGAGATCGAAGAGTCAATTCCTTTCGATTTATATAAAAAGTGTTTTCGTTTTGGAATAAGAACAAAAAAAAAACATCCAAAGTACTCATTTAATTATTCTTAATGCGTATACTTTTTTGATGTTACCTATACCTGTGATGGCGCATTTGGATAAAAACCTTAGCTGCATTTCTGTATATTTTAAAGAAAACATTGCTCTCCTTTACTCCCTTTAGGATAGTATTATTCTCTGTTGTAAGGTCGTTTTTACTGACACAAATTTCACATATACAAACACCCAGATGCGAATCAAATATCTTTGGGTCGCACAAATAGGTGTCCTGTGTGGGAATCGAACCCACAGCCCCCGACGCCGAAGCCAATACTGCACCTCGAAGTCATCAATTTTTCGACATTTACCTATTACTCGGAAAATATTTAATTAAACTATTGTCTTCCCTTTAATATATTTTTCACAAACAAAGAGCACTGGCTACGTGTTACGCTAAAGAAGTATAACTTTTTACGCGTGTAAATAAGTATTAAGTACCTACACAGATACTTTTCTGTCTGTCTGTACATGTTACATTTTCGATGATATGACTTTTAACTGCGGTATTCGAACCTGTATCCTCCGGATAACGTGCCCAGACGCTTTGTCAACTAAACTAAGTTACGGTGCGAAAATAATTAATTATTATTTTAACGACACTTGCCGCCTTTGCTCTTAAAAGATCTCTAGCAAAAACTTTAGAATCAAAGTTTCTCTGTACGTTAGGGTACAGTGAAAGCGATTATATAATTCAATCTGAAAGCTTTAGGAGTTTTGGATATGGGCACGAGATGGATGGAGTGTATACTTCATCAGAGAAGATCTTCCCAGCATAGTTTTAAGATTCAATGTGCCACTCACCAATCGGTCATCACTATCAGTCTTATGACCACAGAGATATAATTGCAGATTGGAAGTTTGTCCATCATAATGAAACAGGCAGGCAGGGTAACGGGAACACTTTCGCACACTTCCGCGACCCTGCCAGCGCTTGGCCGCCTTAGCAGCCTCCTCCCGGGGAGCAACACCCCTCTCCTTCAGGTAAGGCGCGCTGGAACATTCAGCGCGCCTTCCTACTCGGCCCCAGTTTCACGGCCAAGGAACTCCCCCGAGTTCGCTGACCGGGGCCATGGGAGCCAGGAGAGTCAGTGCCAATAAGCAGCAAGCCTCTCAGCCCCCAGCGGTAGACCAACGGCCAACGCAATACCGACACTCCTCTTCCCCCGCGACTCCTCCTCGGTAGCAGAAGACAGGGAGAGTGGCTCTACCTCTACCACCCTCGAACTGTCCCCTGCACCCTCCAGCACAAATCCAGAGTGGGCTCAATGAGCCCACTCGGAGCGGCCCTCTCGGGCCGGCCTTACACTACAGGCCGGCCCAGTGTGGGTTCCTCTTAGCTTCGCCGTGGGTGACCAAGCCACGGCTACTAAGCCCCTCCGCCAATTCAAGGCGGAAACCCGGTCGAAGGGGTTCGATTTGAGGCTTGCCTGCACAAAAAACTATCTAAAGGTCTAATAAGTAAACACGTATGAATCCGGTTTTAGGCCATTACACAATCTCCAGCCCTTCTGGACGTAACTGATGGATACAATTCCAATATAATTAATATAAACGTTAATATTTTTTTTATTTCAGCGAGGTTAAGTACTGGATGGGATAAACTGGATTTTATATTTGGTTAAAAGAAAAGTTTTGTAGATTAAAATATATAATATTTTTTGTTAACCTTACTTATATATACTTAATGTAATACATATTTTGAAAGATTTAAATATGAACTTTGATCATTTTCAAGCAATGTAAAGTTATTGGGTTACTATCGTAGGTATAGCTATTTAAACATTTAACATCATTGATTAATAATAAAAATTAGAAAGAAGAGAAAAAGAAGGTTAGTAAGTAATACGCTACTTGCTCTTTATTCATGCTCCCGATTACCTCAACGAATGCTTGTGATTTTATTATTGTAATTTGTCCAGTAGTTTATTGGCAGCGTATTAATAGAGTCGCCATTTCATGCTAGCAAGATTATTACTAATAATAAAGTGATCTTTACAATATTATTTTTTTTTCTTATGGCTACGCAACAGCTTCTGGTGATGCACGAATAGAAAGACGGACGGAATAGAAGAGAAGGTCTCATAAACGGCTGACGTAATGTAGAAAAAAAAAGTAGAAATAAACCATTATGGCATTTAGGTAAACCTGTAAGAGACCTTGGCTTAAAATGAAAATTGAAATTTAAAATGAAAATAATTAATGTTATAATAGATAGACAAGACACTACTACCTAAGATATCTACGGAGTTTCTTCTCCGTTAGAGGAACCTCCTTACGAAACGGTGCTAGATTTAAAAAATTACTATCGATAGAAGAAATGTATATTTTTTATTTCGATGAACACATAATTTGATTTGATTTCATTCGCATACATTTTTAGCCAACATTTTAGAACTTTCAAGAACATTTCTTGTTTATATATTAGAATCAAAAGTATATTTAAAACACGATGGTCAAACGTGAAATAAGCTTTATAAATAAAAACAATGTGTAAAAATGTTCAATTAAAAAATAACACCATTACATAAAACATAAGAACGTCTGCAGGAAAAAAAATGTATCCCTAAAAGTTATAATTTGTCAAAAGTTTTAGGATAAACGCAAACAAATATAAAGCAGTGAGAAAGAGGAGAGATAATTGTTGTTACAAAGTTTTTTTTTTTTTTATGCGAAAAGTTGTCAAACGAGCAGACGGTTCACCTGATGTTAAGTGAATACCGCCGCCCATGGACATCTGCCACACCCGAGAGTTACAGATGCGTTGACAACCTTTTGAAAATTGGGCTCCGGCTACCTCACTCACCAGACGAAACGTGAAAGTATTTGTCATACTTTCCCTTTACGCTGGTCTTCTGTGAGGTCGTGGTACTTACCCGGACGGGCCTGCCCATTCGTGCAACAGCCGAGGCTGCTGCGTGGCCCTACCACAGTTGACTCGTTCGAAAATCTTTTTTCCTAAATTGTTTTTCTTTTGGGGAATCAATTCAATCAACGGAATAAGGATAATGTAATAAAATATCTCACGTTTGTCTCCTAATAATCCCTTGATGTACCGCATTAATGCGAATAGTTTAAATAAGTTTTTAGTACCGTGCAACTACTTTGTTCCCCGACGCTCTGGGCTTTCTTTTCCAGAATCTTTCCCTCGAGAATCATTAAGCTATGTAAAAATAGAATTGTTTTCCGTTTCATACTTCCATAATCATTATAATCACCGACTTAAGGTCATCCAGACCGTCCATGAGTCGACAGAAAATCCCGTCAATGGTCACACCCAAAACGTGTCTTATTAAAATGCGATGACACCCAATTTTCGAATTCATACAAGAACAAAAATACAGCATCTCGTATTACTGTTATGAGGGGCATTGGAGTAAAAGCCGGTCATTTAAATGTCTACTTTATTGTTGCCAACAAAGATGTGCACAATGAACCTCTCAATAGCGTTCTAGTCCCTACAACTTCCACCGGTGCGACGACTCTCCCGTTCCGCACCAATCTCACAGTGACACGACTGCCGGTGCGCTCCCTCTCGTACCAATCTCCACGTACGCGTCCACTGGTGCAAAGATCCACACATTACTATACCAACCCACCCCGTACGCCTTTACACTACTAGTCACTTCGCGTCACTGTTCACTACTATACTGTCCACTATACTGTTCACTCACTATTTCTTCACTTTCCACTTTCTTCTTCCTGTTCCTTCTTCCTCGAGTTCCTCCACTGAACTGCCGTCTAACGCGCCCTGAGCCCCTTTTATACCCGGAATTTCGTTCGTTTTTCAAATAAGTTCTGGGATTTGAAACTTTTTTCAAATTATAATTATATTTTTAATAATTTAAAAGAACATTTTACACGTCATTTTAAACTGTCATCGACGGGTCGTTAACATTAAAGACGTCAAACCCGTAATCGTAACATTATCCCCCTCTAAGATGTGCTCGTCCCGAGCATCATTCGTTCCGTAAGACACACAGCCTTGTTCATCGTATATCTTCTTGCCGTTGACATTCAGGTGGACGTCACCACTGCCGCAGGTCCCCTTGAATAATCGGCTCTTCCATTTTCTTCTACAAGCAATATTTCTAGAGTCACTCGCCGTGCAAAATACTTGTACATAGTTGTTCCATTGTCTGTGGAATAATTCCGCTACTCTAGCATTAAGCCCGCTATTTCTGTACCTTCCACCCACCTTCCTTGGCAAAACGTACTTGTCGCGTTGCTCCCATGTTTTATTTACCACTTTGGACGTCAGGTTATAACAATCGGCCAATGTCAAGCACGGAGCGGCCTTTGCGTATTCGGCGGACGGTTGTGCACCGCGAAATGTAGTCCAGGTCCATCCGCCTCACGTATCCCTCGAAGTCATCGGTCAGGTCTTGGCTATCGCTGTTACCGTTGTCCAATTCAGCCTCAATCTCGACGTTATCTCGCATCATAGCTGATGTGTGACTCGCGGGTGACAGCTTTGTTTCGGACTTCGGTTTTGATTTTTCCTCGGCCTTTATGATTCCATTGGTGTCCTCCAACATGTCGTGCACAGCCAAGTCGAGATCGAGGTGCTCCTGCGTCTAAGCCTTTAACGAGCACCATGACAGTGTCTCCGTCGGTTCGTGGGAATACGGTTGTTGTAATTCCAAATTGTCCATCCCCTTTTCTACAAATTCGACTTCCGCTCTTACTTCATTTTCATGTTTGTCCACGCTAACTTCCACCGCCCGTATTTCATTTCTATGTTTGTTCACACTAACTTCGAAATTTTTCGTTTCCTTTTCTATAGTCTCCACTTTCTCAGGATTGTACCGAAGCGCTTTAGCACCTCTTCGTCGCGGCGCACTTTTTCTTCCCGTAAGTTTCTTGCGGCGGCATGCTTATTCTTTGGGGTGGCCTGCTTGTTCCTCCCAGCTACGTGCTATTTCTCGAGTTCCTCCACTAAACTGCCGTCTAACGCGCTCTGGGCCCCTTTTATACTCGGAATTACACTCGTTTTTCAAATAAATTCTGGAATTCGAAACTTCTTACAAAATAATAATTATATTTTTAATAATTTAAAAGAACATTTTACACGTCATTTTAGACATTTAAGACGTAAACCCCGTAATCGTAACAATACAATGTCACAGACCAAAGTTTATAATCGGTTCGTAGGAGACTTAATATATTTTGAAAGACAGCTTTTCCTTACTTAATTTCAGACTTTACTTCTCTTTAGAGGGCGCCTTTCTATCTCGTTTGCATAGTAAATGTTGAGTAACACTCGCGTAAATAAATAAGAAATTAAAGGAAAAAAGTAATTCACTCCTTATTATAGTTGCATATTTACCAGGAAATAAATGGAGGTGGGATTCGTACACAAGATAATGTCGCCCTTTATACATCAGTTTCCGACCTCGGACGAAAACATTCGATCTGTCATAGTTGACGTATGGAATATTTATGTGTATCTTGTCGTGTATGATTTAGTTTTCGTTATTTATATACAGCGTCTCGATTACTCAGAAGACGCAAGTTCTAATTCCGCAGCGAAAATTTTTCGAGAATGTACCAATTGAATTCATATTTTAATTTCCTTTTAAGTGCAGATCGGCATTAAAAGTAAAGAAAATAATGCTAAAGTGCCTACTTCGTTGTTATCAACCTCTTGAGTTAACTATGTGATATGGTAAGTATGTAGAGCATGTATGTGTATAAAGTACCGTATCTGGTTAATAAAACTATGTCAAAGTAATTTTACCGCTCGTTACTTATATGTCCAGCCTTTAATATGTGGAGAATGGTTAAGTTTTCAAAAGGTTGAATGTTAAATAATATGTTCAAAGTGCAGTGGGCCCCCATTTAGAAATCAATAATCCAAAAATATTAAGCTCCAAATAACCCTGTGACTTAAAAAACATACATAATATTCGCTTATTCTCATGCTCTCATCAAATGTATATCGAAAAATATCATTAATTTTGAGACAACCATTTTGCATACTGTTACTAATTTGAATAAATTAACCCTAAACCCAATAATGGTAGCTGAAGTTGAGTGAAGAAATTGTGCATTGCCATTACAAACTATTAGAAACGAAAAAAAATTAGTCCCCGATTACGGAATTACATTTTCTTTCAATCGATTTAAAAAAATCAGGAAATAAAAGCAAGCATAAAATATAAAGTGTAATAAAAATATAATTGTTCTCAGTTGTCTGCTCATTTTAATATTAATAACAAAAAAATATTTCGTTTCATGCTTCATTTGTATTTATTATCTAATTTTGATCTAAAAAAACTACTTAAAAAAAAGAAATTAAATATAAATAAATTATTCTTAATTTTCTATTAGTTGTCGGCCTAATAACTCACCGGAGAGGTGTTTATTTTTTACAAAATTTGTCACATGCGAACATTTATATATTTTGCTAAATTCCAATGGACAACGTTCGAAAAACCACTAAAACTGTATTCAATATTTCTACTAAATAATTTAAATCTTACAAATATGCCAATTTGTTAGATGATAATTTACAATAATAAGAAAAGTAGTGGCGAAGATATAAATTACTTTTTAAATATGAAAAAGCTTCATTTAAAATTTAAAAAAAACATGCCTGCTGCATTGATGTGGCTTATTTGTGGACAGATTAAATTATAACTAAATATTACATTTTTGTGAAAAAAATAATCATAATTTTATTATAAAAACATAGAAAGAAAATTAGTATGAATAACAAACTGCGTTGTTACACTAACTTCTCGCTATGTGAAATGGGCAATTTGTTAAACCACTTAATCTTACTCAACGCAGTCTTTGTGCTTGTAAAAGTTATTTGCCAAGTCTTACAGTGTTTGCCTGTACGATGTCTGCTACGAGAACGATTTATTTTATGTAATCGTACTGTAAAACACGGAAGATACTCTATCATTTTCTTTGTATAGCAATGTAAAAGGTTGGTTGTAAGCTGCTTAAATATAAATATTACATATCAGTGTTTCCGTGCCACTTCAAATACCGGATTCATGTCGAAGGCAATCATCACCTTCTTTTTCGCGTATTGTGAAGGCAAGGTATATACAATAAAAACGTTTTTAACCGACTTCAAAAAAGAAGGAGGTTCTCAATTCGACTGTATTTTTTTTTGTTTGTTACCTCAGAACAGTCGACTGGGTGAATCGATTTTTGATGATTCATTTTTTATTTGAAAGCTGGTGCTTCCTGTGTGGTCCCATGTGCTAAGTTAGGAGATGGTTGAAGTGGACATATTTGACTTGATTGCTAATAAAAAACAACCCATTTATTCTCAGCAGTAATCAAATGATTGACACGACAGTAACCACCTGTTTCCCAATTGATATACTACTCACAGGGAAAATATAAGACACAGTGCTTTAAATAAGGTTTTATATATATATATAGGAAGTTTTATAACTTTTATATAATATTATTATTATATATAATATTTTATATTTTATAACCTTTAATTTGTCTGAAATCTATGTTTACGTGTGAAACAAAAAACTTTATATAAATAAACTTTGAATATACGATACAGCACAATATATCTAAGAAAAAGAACCGAATATTGAGATGGGTCTCTTAATAGACAGTAATGAGAGTAAGGAAATGTAAAGAAAATAAGAATTAAGCTAACAAATAGCCACTCATTTGTATAGTAGAAGAATCTTTTAAAAGCTGCCGCAAAATGTTACTTAGTAATGGACGGATGAAATCATTCTCAATTGGGTTCCTGGAAGAGAAAAATGAGTTTAAAGTATTTGGTAAAGTAATTCTGTAAGAGTTTTCTTCCTTAATTGATTAAATTGTTCGTAGATTTCCAGTTCTAAGGTTATATTACTTTTGAAATAATATTTTTCATCTGTAACTATCACCTTTTCGAGAAGCCGTATCTATTAAAAAAGTGGAGAATAAATAATTATTCAAGGAGGATGCTCGAGATCTTTGATTTGATCTTGATCCGCGTAGATTTCCGCGTAGATCCGGACACAAAATTACTTTTCAAATAGCTGGTGGTAACCTGGGTTATCAATGATATTCAGACGTCTTACGCCTCACAGTGAGTGAGCCATTGTGGCCATTAATGCTGCAAAGCATTCGAGACCTTAGAAATTGAAATAAAAATTAAAATGCAATAAATCCCTAAAAATTGTTTTGTTCGGTTGTGTATATTTTTTTACATAACGAGTAGTATAAGTTTGTGGTAAGTTTGTTAAAACTTGTGTATTGTTTGTAATGTTGGCTTAATTTAGACACCTATCGAAAAGAGTTACCTGACAGCTAGTTGAGATGAGACGACACCGTGCGCCCTTATGGTAAAGACGATAAAACATGTTTCCGTAGTTAGATATGGTGACTCCGTGGTGCAGTCGCCAAGGTATCAGCTTCGACGTCGGGGGTCGTGGGTTCGATTCCCACACTGGACAATAATTTGTGTGACCCACAAATAAATGTTCCGCATCTGGGTGTTTATCCGCGTGAAATTTATGTTTATAAAACTTCCTTACAACACAGAATAATGTTATCCCAAAGTAAGGGCAATGTTTAAAAAAAATGATAAAAAAGGTATGACGCCGATGATGTTTAGGTAATAAAATGTTTGCCAATGAAAGTTTATTTTGTGTTGTCTTCGCGTGTTGATCAGCGAACTATAGTGAACTCCACAGTGCGAATCAGTAAGTATATGAAAAACTCAATCATGATGATAGAGGCTTTTAGAGTTACTTGCCAATATCTCATTAGACCCCTAATGCATTAAAGTTTATTATTTAGTTTAATTAATAACCGTTCACTTATCGAAGGCTCCAAAGTAAACTGCCCTAAGTGAAAAAATTAAATTTTACAGGACAGCAGTTTAAAGCATTCAGAAAGGTATTTTGGGTCAAATCTTGTAAACTAATGAAGCAATTTTTTTGAAATTTTGCAATAAGTATTAACATATCGTGTTATTTATCATGCTGAGACTAATTTTTTCGACTGTTTACATCGTTTATTTTCTTTTATTCATCTTTTATTATTCCGCGTAAAAAGGCTTTTGTGATCTTCCGCCCATATACGTCTTTATACTAAAACATTATTAAGTCGTGAGGGCGTTATCTTAGTAAACCAGACACATAGTAAAATTCGTGAGGTATGAAATTTGTATAATATCGTTCAAAAAGTTACGAAAAATATAAAGTTTAAAAAAAGGCGCATAATATATAACTAAACTAACTACGTAAAAAGGCTGATGGTATTTTACACCTCTATGCGAGGTTTTTAGTAAATTAATAGTTATAAAGATAAATTTCCTGATAATGAAATAAAGTTTCAACTGAATAATATAATGTTACTAATATATTTATTAAAATGTAAAAATATAACTATCTTACCTGGACATTCAGTATCATTATTATGGTTACAAGGCTCATCTTCGATGCTTAAATCAGTGCTGTTGTGTTTATTTATGATTTTATTTATAATTGTTTGGGCTCTTGAAACTGCACACATTTTTGGTATCATTTTCGTTTGAACCAGCTAAGATATAAATTAATTT